TATGTGGTGGCAGCATCTACCCATCCAAGGTCAGAGAAACTGTGACCTTGGGAGTTTAATCCAAGCCTGGAGTGGCCAGTATTAATTTTTAGAATCCTTGCAGGCCCCCACCTTCTGCAGTCAAAGTGCCAGAGTGGGGAATCAGCCTTGACAGCATCCACGAAGGGATTCCTTTTACAGTAGTTTCCATGGTCACAACAATAATGATCTTACTTGGGGCTGAAAATTTTAACAATCAGAGCCAACCATTTTTGGAAAGGTTGTCAAACAAATTTTTGCAGCCTACCTCTAAATATAATCAGTTTCTCTCCCCAATTATCATACCACTTTTTATAGGCCAATTTAAGATGTATGTCTAAGTAGCTTCATGGTGAGAATGTACTGGGTACTAAAGGTCACTTTAATCTAACACAATAAAAATCAATAACTGGGTGTTAAAGCCAGATAAATTGAAATTAGAAATTAGCCAAATAAATAAAAATTGAAATTAGAACACACGTTTTTAACAGTGAGGAACAACCAACCAAGGGAAGTGGTGGATTCCCCATCTTCTATTGTCTTTACACCAGTGCGGGGTGCCTTTTGGCTTTAGTCAAACACACATTATTAGGCTTAATACAGGGGTAACTGGATGAAATTCTATGATTTCTGTTTTACAGGAGGTCAGACTAAATAATCTAATGGTCCTTTCTGGCCTTGGAATCTATGAATCCATGAAGATTGTGGGGATTGTTATTGAGGTCATATCTTGAAATATAATGCAAACTTAACTGACTTGTGTTTTAATAAAATCTTTTGGGGATGGGTTTTTACATTCCCACTCAAACTCCTACTGTAGAATCATAGAAGATTAGAGTTGGAAGAGACCTCAGGAGGGCATCTAGTTCAACCCCCTGCTCAAAGCAGGACCAACCCCAGCTAAATCAGAAGATGAAGCCCAGCTGCATAGTTCCCTTCAGTCTTAGCAATTGTTTAGCACTGCTTTATGTCAGTTTCTTTTTTGAGATAATCTTTGCAAGGAAAAGGGCCAGAGATTTAAATATTGTTTTCAAAGAAAGCTAAAACTCTCCTTTACAGGGTCCAGAATCTGGCTCCACGGAAAAAGAGACTTTCACAAACTCCTGCCAATTCAATACTGACTTTGTCCAACACTGATGTCATTCATAGAAGCTGTCTGTCATCTCAGGAATTTTTCCTAAGTGACTTACTTGCAGAACTGCTTCAAAGAGTAATCAGACTATGAAGCAAAAGTAGAAAGAGAAAGTCCTATGCAGAGGGAACTACCCAATAAATGGAGCTTCATGTCATCTAATTCTCATCTGTACCAGGGAACTTTTCCAAAAAATTTCCTTCTGTTGATTAATCTGCCTCAGCGCCATCACTGCTAGCAACAGTGGGAGCTTTAGGGTGAATGGCCTATTGATGGTCTCTGGCATTTTAAGCATTGTGTCATCTGACCCCGCACAGAGCAGGTCTTATCAACCCAATTAAACATTTTACATAATATGGATTGAACTTCAACCCGCATTACAGATAAGAACGTGTTAGGTTCTTAAGAGCTAGTAGGAAAAGGTTTAATTCAGTTACTGTGGCACTGCTCACAGGTATGAGCTCATTGGGAGTAGGTACTGTGCAGGATTACCATAGCATTAGAGGATGAGAATCCTCTAGACTGGAAATCCATGGTGTTAGAAGATTTTACTAAATTTAGAGTATCAAATAAGTTTCAAAGGTAATAGTTTCAGCGTGCTACTATGGCTGTTGCGTCAAATGTTATTAACCAGAGGATAGCATTTGTCATAAATATAAAGGGAAGGGTAACCACCTTTCTGTTACCCTGTAAGGTATTTACAATCCTGATTTTACAGAGGTGATTCTTTTACCTTTTCTTTAACCTTTTCTTGAATTAAAATTCTTCTTTTAAGAACCTGATTGATTTTTCATTGTTCTTAAGATCCAAGGGTTTGGGTCTGTGTTCACCTGTACAAATTGGTGAGGATTCTTATCAAGTCTTCCCCAGGAAAGGGGGTGTAGGGCTTGGGGGGATCTTTTGGGGGAAGACGTCTCCAAGTGGGCTCTTTCCCTGTTGTTTGTTTAAAACGCTTGGTGGTGGCAGCATGGGATTCAAGGATAAGGCAAAGTTTGTACCTTGAGGAAGTTTTAACCTAAGCTGGTAAGAATAAGCTTAGAGGGTCTTTCATGCAGGTCCCCACATCAGTACCCTAGAGTTCAGAGTGGGGAAGGTACCTTGACAGCATCTTTGTCACATACTGAATAACATATCCTGCCACTGTTTGAGTTGGCAGTTCCAAAGAGAGTTGAAATTATGAGAATGGAACAGTTTTAAACAGTCATCAGCTTTGGCAGCCTTTCCTGTAATGCCGTAATGGTAGTCTGTAACTCCTCATAAAGGATAGTTCTGTGTATTCTTTTCTTTTGATAATAATATTAGAAAGCATCTGTTTATTTTTTCTCACCTGAGATCCACATGTTTGGGAGGGATCACTTCTTATACATTTTAACATGTGTATGCATTGGCCTTTTAGACTCAGGAAAACTTTCTAATCTATGGTGTTTATATGATGCTAATTGTTGAAACAGATCTTTAATGGCCCACAGCTGGGCAGATTGTTACCTGTACCAATGAAAATTCACATTCAGTTTGCACAATGCACAGCAGTTTATTTGAGAAAGAATCACACAAGCAGTAAAAGGTTCTATAATACATCTTCCTTATACGCCTCAATTCCCCAAGCGTAAACCCTCAGTAATTATGTTGGCTTTACACAGTATCCTGACTGGCAAACGAAGTAGATAGAGCTACCGGTTCTAGTTGGAGACTTCTTCTCTTCTCTTCTCTTCTCTTCCCCTTTCAGGTAGTTGGTCTGTCAAATGTCCCCTGAAGCAGGGTCTTGGTTACCCCAAGGGCCTCTGGTTCCAAAGTCCTACAAAAGTCCCTCATAGCAAGGTGTTGGCTACCCTGAGACCCTCTATCTCACAGCATCACAGACCTCTTCAGATGTTAATTGGGGAACTAACTAACTCTGCTTAGCATTTATACCTCTTGTTCTCAAAGGAGTCACATGTCGCAGAAATATGCCTCGTTGGGCGTTCCATTACTGTTTTTTTTAAATTAATATTTTAGAAGGGACTGCAAAATGGACAGAGACCAAAGATCAGTTGATGTTTACCCTCTCATTAATCATTCACTTGAGCTCTTGGTGCGGTGCCATCCTAAAGGGTCATTTTGACCCAGATCGGCCTGTACGAAGCTCACTGATCCCGTGTCTTCTACATATTTACTTTTGTGAGCTGGCCATCGGCTGATATGTTTCAAAGTTCCATGTTGAAACCCACACACACAGATAGAGTCTTTGATTAACTAATTCCAGCACTTTCAGTAAATTTCCATACCAACTATCTGATGCTAAGAGTACCCTGCTCCCAGAATCCCCTAGCAAATTCAGACGTACCCAGCCATAATAAACTCATGTTTACTACATTGATTCATATCAAACACAGCAATTCACAATAATAATTTGGCACCGTCCCAACACTAGTCGCCATAATTTCTACATGCTGACATCAATGCATATTATACTTAAAATATAAACACTGTATCATTGATTATATCTGGCACTCTAGTGGCAGCACATTTTAAGATTGCCTAAACCCCCATTTTCAGTTGTTAATGAAGGTCAACATTTTTCATCTTTTGGCCTGTACAAAGGTGAAATATATTTGGTAAGTTTCAGCAAAAACAGGTTAGCCATTTTTGAGAATGAAGACAGTGGTGAAAAATATACATTTCCTATTATTAAAAAGCATAAATAAATTGTGCCACCATTTTTAACATGATTAGCTCCAAAGTGTGCTTAGGGTAGAAATTGACGTTTGACAGGTAATACCTGGAAGGAAGATTGCCTTCAATGTCCTGGTGTAAATCTAATTGTATCTGGCAAAGATATGAGGGTTTGAAAATTGTAGTTTGCCTATCTGCAGTAGTTTTTTAAAAATTATAGCACTTTTTAACAACTGTCTTCCAATGGTATAAATGAAAGAGGGCTGTACAGTGCTTCTGTGAATAGATAATTTAGGACCATAAAAAAAAATCTCTTGAGTCCTGCCTGATTCATTGGGAGTGAGTTTTGTGCCTCATAGCCAAATGCCCCAGTCGGCCATTCTGGATGCTGCTGACAGCTAAAACATAGTAATGCTGCTTCCTTAGCTATGCGGAGAAATGCCTTACACTCTAGGGGACTCAGCTTGCCAAGTAAGACAGCTTTTCAGCCCATTGAAACCACTGGACCCTATTTTGCAAAATAAATAAATTACTCAGTGTTAAGGTTGGGTTTTAGTTGCATAAGAGTCATGACGTTCAGAATGAATTTCCTAAAGCATCCTACTCTGTTTCCTTGCATGTATGCCTTTTATTAAAAGATTACTCAATACTGAAACAATGTGATATACTAGTTGGCAAAGCAAACCTTAAAATGGAAAGAAAGTGATTTTTTTTCTAGTCCTCCTCCAATTGGACTGCAAAAGTAAATTGAATTGAATACTATTTTTAAAATATATATACATACATGAACATTCTTTGTTACTCTATATATGTTGTTTAATCATGTAACAAAAGAACCTGCTGAAATTGTGTGGGTGGGAACCTTAACTCTAAATTTCCCAACTTTTGTGAAATTAACTCACATTGCATCAACATAGTGGCCCAGATCCTCAGCTGATATACGTTGGGATAGCTCCATTGAAGTTAGTGGAGCCAGCTAATTTACACTATATGAGGAGCTTGACCCTATGTTTTTGCTTGCTTTTGTTTTTCATTTTTATATTTAAAAGGATTATCTATGTTGAAAACCAACAGTACTTGAAGGATAGCATGCACCTTAGAGGTTCAAGTGTCATTGTTCCTATGTGTGCATGTAGAGTAGTGCATGTAGAGTAGTGCATGTACTAACAGTTGTTCCATCTGCCTTTCTCTTTCATAGACATTTGGGCCTGGATCTAGTTCCTCGGAAGGACTTTGAGGTGGTGGATTCAGATCAGATCAGCATTTCAGATCTTTATAAAATGGTAAGAAACCTCAGGTGAAAGTCCTTTGTTTGTGTATAAGCACGGGGAAGAGATTTTCCTTTTCTTATTTATGTTGCTTGTTTGGGTGAGGGGAGGGGGAATTAAATCATTTTTTTATTGTTTCCAACATTATTAATGTTGGTGGGGGAGAAGGCGAGCGATTGATGCTCGTCCTTAGCTGATGCTATGAAAGATGGGTATTTCTGGGTTTGTTACATATCACTCTATAAAGCTTCCAGCATCACAGAGTCTCATTGTTTTCAATCTGAACTTTTTTTAAATGAAAAATCAGGTAAATAGTGATGTCAGGGTTCTTTCCTGAGAGTGGTCTATAATAAGTGTTTTTCTCTGTGTGATCACTAGACTAGGCATATATGTACCATAACATGCTTGATTTATCAAGTTCTGCTTTTCAATAGGAAAAGAGGCTTTTTCTGTGAGATTTTATTACACTAGCTATGTTAATTTTATTCTTTCCCTTTATTTTCTTGATTCACTGACTACGTTGTAGTTTAAATTTGGCATTTCTTTTATCTCTTTAACTCATTGATTATTCTGGTAGTTACTGTCTTTATTTGTCTTTATTACTCTAACTTGTTAGTTAAAACAACCCATATTTTTTTGTTCGAAGGACATAATTTTCTATAAATTTGGCAAAATGGGGAGAAAGAAGGGCTGGGAAAGAGAAGAATGTTGAATAGCTCTAGTAAAATATAAATGGAGTATACAAACCAGTTCTGGAGAATCAATAATAACTTGGCATTGGTTTCGAAACCTAGCTGGTGGCTTAGAATGTGATTTCAGCCCATCTGCAGTTTAATCTGTTTGCTTGACACATTCATCTGGGCACATGTGGAAAAAGCACTAGGGTATGTCTATACTGGAACTGGAGGTGTAATTTCCAGTTTAGGTAGATGTAGCTGCCTTAGCTCTCATTGAACTAGCTTGCTAACAATTGCACAGTAGCCACAGGTGCACTAGTAGTGGGATGGGCTAGCCATCCTGAGTACATACCTAGGTTTTCAGAAGGGCTTGTACTCTGTGCAGCTAGCACAGATATGGAAATTACACCTTCAGCTACAGTGGAGACATACCATACCAGTAGGGGAGCTACTGAATTTAAGGCTTTTAGGACTTCATGAAGAGAGAGACAAAACAATCAGGCGGAGCTATAGCAATAACATTATAATCCAACAGTCTCTGCCATTCTCATGTCAGTACTCCAGACCCAGCAGCAATTCCTATCCACTCATTTATTTCCTTATTTTTATTTATTTATGCTTCAGATATTATATAGAGAAATCTGCCATTTATATGCTGATTTATATGCTGTGGCTATAAGACCTGCTAGTGTTCTATAAGGTGAGGAAGTACTACAGGATCTGTCATAACACCCAGTTTGTTAGTATCTTGCTCACAAATTGTTGTTTTTCTCACTTTAAAGCCCCATGCACCAGGCAGAAGTTTCAGAATGCCATACTGACCGATAACAACATGGTCTGACTGGAAAACAGGTTGACCTCTATAGCCTTCTACGAATAAATAAAATCCTACTTTGGGAATGTAAAATCACACGTCATTGTTAGTCCTGTTGAATACATCATGGGCTTCTCTCAGACTGTCCTTAATCAGTTGAGAACATGCAAAAGATTACAACTCCCTGAAATCATGTTAAGTGGGCATTAATTTTGTTTAATAGGCGCTGTGGATTGGACAGAACCACGTTTTTACCATTTAATTGAATACCAAATAATCAGCAACAGTATTCATCAAACACTAGATGCAAATACTAACAGTTGACATTCTTTGGATGTTGTAAGATCACACTGGTAGCAAGATATAGAGTTGATTACCATTAGGCCTCCTCTAGTAAATATACCTTCTGGAGAAAGGAGTCCATCAAGAATTTGTGCATGTGTCCAGTACATTCAGGAGAGCTACTATTTGATGAAATTGCAAATTTCTATTCTTCGTATTCACAAAATGCCACAGAGATGTTATGATGGATTTGGTGACAGGTCAGCTGCCAGTTTTTTAGTAAGGGGCTCACATTAAAAATATACCTCTTTGCCTGAGCAAGATGATGTGTATTACAGGTACTTGAACTCACGGAGAGGCTGGATATGAGGGACTATGGAATACATTAATTTAAACAAAACCATTTCATTGTGAACATAATCAAGGATGGAGGCAATATCGCTAAACTAAACAAAGCAAAAATACGGTGCATTTCACTGGAAATGTTTATACTCTTTTCCTGATAGTATAGTACAGGGGTGGGCAAACTTTTTGGCCTAAGGGCCACATCGGAGAATAGAAATTCTTCTTCGAGTGCTTGTTCACATCCATTCCACATTAGGTGTGCACACTGCGTGCACAAGCATCGAAAACTTTTTCCCTTAGCGGTTTCCGGCGGGGCCCCCCGAGTGCAGCACTGCGCCTTGTATATATACCCCTGCCAGCCCGACCCGCTCCAGTTCCTTCTTACCGTCCATGGCGGCTGGAACAACCTCTCTTTCTCTCTTGTAGAAGAGCAGTCCCTTAGCCTTTAGAGTAGCTGTTATCAGTTAGTTAGCATACCTTTATTGTGGACACTCAAGTGATTAGGTGCTTGGAGGCTTCCAGCACCTGCCCCAGACCACAGGGCATGCCGCAGGCCAAAGCTTCAAGGCTTGTGCCACGTGCCGCAAACTTATGCCAGGTAGTGAGCCCCACAACTCGTGTCTACGGTGCCTGGGGGATGGACATCAAACTGAATGGTGTAGGATTAGCAAGGCATTTAAGCCAAGAACAAGGAAAGAAAGAGACTTCCATTTAAAGCAGCTGTTGATGGAGGCCACATTGCAGCCACTGTGCCCGGAGCACCCAACGCCAGCTCAGGCTTCCTGGGTGCATAGTGCCCCGGAGCCGTTGAGAGACCCAGCACCGGCCAAGCACCGTAAACTGTCTGCCCCAGAGCTCCAGACTAGGCCCCGGCACCGCTCGTCCTCCTTGGTGCGGCCCCCAGTGCAGCCGAAAGGAAGGCGCGGTCGTTCCCCACATAGGAGGCCAGCGCCTCCCAAGGTCCCGAGCACCGATAAGAGCGGGAAGGCCGTGGTACTGGCGCCGACACCAGCGGTCCCGGCAGCACAAGCCCCACAGAGCCCAGACCTAAGTGAGCTCAGTGCGGACGATGGGCTCGAGGACATAACAGATCAGCCCTCCACGCCTGGCACCTTTGAGGCTGCAAAGGACCTTATTGAGCTGTCGGCGGCAAGCCCCCTCCCGTATGGGGAGAAACCTCTGGCACCCACGCTTTGGGTGTCGTCGAGGGGTAAGCCTGCAGTGGTGTGCCGCTTGAGGACACCGTCCCAGCACCGCTCCTGGAGTTGGTCCCGGTCGAGCTCCAACTCCGTGGACTCACAGTTGCCAGTGGCCCAGAAGGAGGTAGCAACAGCGGGAGTGGGTAGGCACGAGGAAGCACCGGAAAGTGCACACCGCTCTCCGGCACTACCCAGAGACTGGCACCAGGAGGAGTTGAGACGGCCCTTGCCAGAGGACTCCCGCAGACGGTCCCGGTCCAGGGAACACCAGCACAGGTCCCAGTCCTGGTCCAGATCCCGGTCCCGGTCCTGGGTATACCGGTACCGCTCCCACTCCCGCTCAGCCACGAGCCGCTCGTTCTCCCGCCGGCACAGATCGTTGGCACTGCCGTAGCCTTCGCGATTGGCATCGCCGCAGTCCGGTGCTGACTTTGGCCACTATAGCTACCCGCACCAGGCCCCAGACAGCAGGGCCCCTCAGGTGGGCTGGCAATCCCAATTGGGGCCACCAGGCCATTGGCCCTTCTGGACCCCCTGGGCCTATCAGGAGTGTCAAGGGGCCCCGCCCAGGGCAAGTTACTCAGTGCAGCGGTCCCGGTCCCCACACTGATGCCAGACGGTGCTGGAGGCAGTAGTATCCAGGCCTCCAGCATCCACCCAGGATAAACCGGAGAGACCGGCACTGAGTCCGGTGCCGTCCCATGGACTCCCGGCCCGAGCCAGAGACCCCTCCCACGGGAGAAGGGGAGCAGGAGCACCAACCTGATGGGGTTGAGCAGCAGCTGACCTCCTTGTCATCCCCGGATGAGGCGGTGGCGGGTACAGAGGTGTCCGGCCCTCCACCAATAGACCATAGAGCCCACCAGGAGTTGCTGCGCAGGGTCACCCAGAACTTGCGGTTGCAGGCCGAGGAGATGGTTGAGGACCCCATGGTGGACATTCTGAGCCCCAAAGGTCCATCCAGAATAGTGCTCCCGCTCATTAAGACCATTCAGTCCAACTATAAGGCCTTATGGCAGACCCCAGCCTCCAGCACTCCAACGGCCAAAGGACTTTGCCCCATCTAAGGGCTATGAGTTCCTGTTCTGCCACCCAAGTCCATGCTCCCTAGTGGTCTCAGCAGTAAACGGCCCCTAAGGCCAAGGAGGCAAAACGCATGGACCTTTTTGGCAGAAAGATGTACTCATCTGGGGGCCTTCAGTTGAGGACTGCAAACCAGCAGGCCATCCTCAACAGGCACAATTTCAACTTGTGGGCGGTTGTGGGGAAGTTTAAGGACAACCTCCGGGAAGGTTCCCAACAGGAGTTCACGGCCCTGGTGGATGAGAGCAAGGCAGTAGCCAAGACCTCTCTCCAGGCCTCCCTGGATTCAGCAGACGCAGCAGCTAGAACAATCACGTCAGGGGTGGTTATGAGGCACTCAGTGTGCTCCAGGAGTCAGGCCTGCTGCCTGAGGTCCAGAATACACTCCAGGACCTCCGCTTCGAAGGGTCTGGGCCCTTCTTGGACCAGACAGACACAAGGCTGCACAGCCTTAAGGACTCTCGAGTTACACTTAAGTCGCTGGGTATGCACACCCTGGCGACCCAGAGGAATCCCTTTAAGCTGCAGCCTCCCCCTCAACACCAGTATCAGCCTCGCCATAGGCATGACCCTTACCATAGGCAAGGCAGGAATAACAGAACGGCGCAACAACAA